TTGTGAGTTCCATCCCAGTCATGGTGCATGCAGGAGGCAACCGATTGATGTCTCCCTCTCATATCCATGTCTCTCTCTCTCTCTCTCTCTCTCTCTTCCTCTCTCTATAAAACATCAATAAAAACATTTTTTAAAAATGAATAGGAGTTTGCCAGGAAAAGTTTCAAGCAGAGGAGAAAACTATAAATCACAACATAGGATAAAGTACAGTATAGAGCAGTGATGGTGAACCTTTTGAGCTCGGCGTGTCAGGATTTTGAAAAACCCTAACTTAACTCTGGTGCCATGTCACATATAGAAATTTTTTGATATTTGCAACCATAGTAAAACAAAGACTTATATTTTTGATAGAAAAATCAACCAGAAAATGAGTCATAGGTTCGCCATCACTGGTATAGAGGATGGAAGATAGGGCTGGATACACTTTTGGGGGTCAGTTCATGAAAAGTCCAGTGAGTTTGAACCATGGTAAAATTATAAAAAGGGATGGTACCATTGTAAGGTCTGTATTATAGAAAAACTAGGAGCCCAGCGCGCGAAATCACACAGCGCCGCCCACCCACCTCCAGCCCTGCCTTGACACCCGAACCTGTCCACACAGCACTCCAGCACGCCTGGCCCAGCCACCATCCCCCTCCCACCCCCCCAACCCCCCCCCCCCCCGCCCTTCTCTGGCCACTTCAAGCCCCGCCCACAGTCCCTCCAGTCGCCTTGGGCTGGTCCTGCCTTCTCCGGGAGCCTCTCTGTTTCTGCCCTGTCTCCAGAGCAACACGGTGACTCCACCCCAACATGGTCCCAGAAGAGAATGTGGAAGCCTCCGCCTGCTGAGCTGTGCTCCTTCCCCTGGCAGGTGGGCCATGGGGCACTCAGAGTGAGAGTGGTGGGTGGCAAAGGACTAGTGAGGGGAGTACTATGGGCTCTCACCCCTGCCCTCCCTGGCACGGGATGGTCCCACCTCCTCCGGGCGCCTCTCTGCTTCTGCCCGTCTCTGGAGCAATGCCCCAGCTAATATGATAATGGTCTGGTCGTTACCCATTAGGGCATCCCCAAAATTAGCATATTAGCTCTTTATTAGTATAGATAACTGATGGCAGTGTATAGATTAAAAAGGGTAACATATCGGAAGCAGAGAGACTAATTTTTAAGGCTACTATAGTAGGCTAGGGGAGAGATGATAAAGGCTAACAGAACAATAGTGAGAAGGGAGGGAGAAGGAAATAACACAAACCAGGATAAGTGGCTGATGAACTGAATGTTGGAAGGAAAAGAGAAGTGGAGTTGAGTATGGCATTATTCAAGATAAGAGAATCAGCATGTTTTTGGCAAGAAGATATGAGTTACATTTTAGATAAGCTGAAGTTTGTATTTTGAATTTATAAACTCCATTCACTGAAGAAATAGTTCTCCTCATTCCTTCCTGCCGGAAGCCAGTCCATCCTTGCTGCTTGACACAGTCGCTGCAGGGAAGAAACATCTGCACAGCATATGTTTCAAGGGACCTGGCGTATATGGCATACTGTTCTTAATATGTTTGAACACCTTCTTGGCGATATGTGTTTTAACCAAGGTCACCTCTCCGAGAAAGGTTGTTTCCCCAGGTAGGGATTTTTCCCTGAAGTTAGGGAGGGAATAAAACCCCTTAACTAAATGCCAGGCGGGTAGTTAATCACTTTAACTACGAACAATCACCCTTAAACTACATAATCTTTACTCCCTGGAATGGAGATAAGACCCTAACCTTTGGAATAGAAATTGACAGGATTAAAATCAACTGGTATAAATACAGATGTAACAAGACAATAAAAGACAGAACCTGGCTGGAGATCCTGGATAGAACCAGGCAAGAGAATCCAACCATGCTGATCAACTGAACGCTGCCTCTGTGTCATTCATTACTTCTTCGCCGACTCTGTCCACACCTTTGGGAACCCCTGGACCTGCTGGGGCTGGACCCCAGCACCTTCCCATTCCAGAATAACTGGAAATTGGACAGCAAACAAATTTTCTGTCCATGATGCTTACAGTTTAACCTCCATTTACGATATAAAAAACAGCAAGAAAAAAACAAATTTAAAAATATGGATAGACAATACATAATCCATGTGATTTCTTCAAAGGGAAGACTCCAGGTATGTTAAATATGTTTTAAATCAACTTGGAATTAAAAAATAATAGAAGTGGTCTCTTTTTTTGGTAATGAATACTTGATAATTTATGTGTTTGATAGGTTTTAGCCAGATGTATCAGGTTTGCTCATACTGAAATACATGTGTGGCTAATTTTCTTATACATTACATTATCCCAGGAATTTTTCAACCTTTTTTCATTTCATGGCACACATAAACTAATTACTGAAATTCTTCGGCAGACCAAAAATATATATATTTTTGGCAATCAGACAAAAAAAATAGGTATATGTTTGATTCATTCACACCACTGGCTGTTGTTGTATTGGCGGTTGTCATTTTTTTATCTGACAACCTAAGGTAAAAGAGGTCAGCAGTAACCCTGATTAAGTAGTCAGTTATCACATGTTTTAAAAATTCTTGCAGCACACTGGTTGAAAATCACTGCATTATCCTAACAACACTAGGAGTCATATTATTCAGGAAAGTACTGGAAACTAAAAGGCTAACACACAAACTGAGTTTTGTTCAAACTGCTTTAAAAATTGATATTCTTTTTTGGTTGTTAATCCTCACTTGAGGATATTTTTCCTTTTTTTTTTTTTTTTTAAGAGAGAATGGAAGGGAGGGGAAGACACAGAGAGAAATATCGATGTGGGAGAGACACATTGATTAGTTGAGGGAATCGAGTCACAATGGAATCAAACCCATGACCCTTCAGTCTGTGGGCTGACGCTCTATCCACTGAGCCAAACAAGCTAGGGCGATGATATTCTCTTTTTAATCTTAAAGTGTCTGTCCTACTTTTCTGTGAGAACTAGCTTTGCTAAAGCAAAGTTTTCACATGACTTCTAACTATTAAAGAATTAATTATAAGTTACTCTTTTATTCAAGGTACTACACAGGTATTTTTGCCAACATTTTTATCTTTTTAATCCCTTAAGCAGGCTAATAAACATTAATTCGTAGTTCCTAAAGAGAAGCTTACTTGAGAAAAAGTTATTTGACATCTATTTCTGCAGATACATAGTTCAAAAACTTTACATTGCACCTTTTTTGAAAATGGTCTGAAAAATTTTTCTTTAACTCCTTGAAAAACATACTCTTTTCTACTGGTTCCTAAAAGATTATTGAATATGTCCCACACCTAGGTCATTGATTCTTTCTTAACACTTACCTTTGTCAATTCCCCATTACTTTCAGTACTTCCAAATTCCCCAAAGTTATTATTATCAACTCTCTTATCTTCTACCTCATCATTGGTCAATGCTTGGACCAACGGTTCTCAACAGAAGCATAACAGGTCTTTAGGCACATTTTGACAATTTGTGGACCTTTTGGTTGTCACAATAATTTGGGTAGGAGGGAAGACAGTTGGTGGACGGGGAACTATTGGTCCTAGAAATCCTAATATGTATGAGACAACCCTGCACAACAAAGAACTGTCTTCATCCCCCCAAATTGTAAGGCTCTACTGGAGATGAAGTCGGCGAGATCTATCACTGTGGGCTGGAGTAGCAGGGAATGTGGTGTGGAAAAGGGCTAATAGCAGCCATGTTTCCGCACTTTCCCCCTCGAATCCATTCATCTTACACACAGACCTTTACAATGGCCCCACCTATCACCTGTTTGCTTAAAACTCAGAAAAATGGCACCACTGCCCTCAGAATACCCCAGCTCTTCCATGTGGTTTAGCAGATGCTTCCGATGTTCCGGCCCGCAGTGACCTTTGGGAACTGCAGGCGTCAGTACGGTGCCACTAGCCACCTGTGAGCGCCTGCAGGCTGGGCAGCCCACACGGAGGTGTCCTGTTCATGCAAAATCCCGCTGGGTTTTAGACAGCATATACTGCATCTATAATGCCAGTAACAATTCTTTATGTTGATCACACGCTAAAGTAGCATTGTGGCTATACTGCATTAACTAAAATACACTGTTAAAATTAAATTCACCTGTTTCTTTTCACTTTTTTAATACAGAAAACTTAAAACCACATGAGACTGGCAGCACGCTGCTCTTGCGCGATTCCTTTTCCCGGCTCCACATTTCGGCCTGAATAAACCGCCTGCAGCGCCCGAGCCCTTTCTCCGGCCTGCAACTTTGTAGATACACTGCTCCTGCCACAAACACTTTCCTCTTCCCTTCGCTGGGCGACCTGCTCCCCCTCCTCCCATCCGGGTGCTGAACTGTTGCTTCCCTTCCCTGAGCAGCCCTTCCTGACCTCCCCCCCCACCACCACCACCACCACCCGGGGTCCCGACGTGACGCGGAGAACCCTCCTGAGCGCTCGCAGGGCTGCGTCTCCAAGGGCCCCTTCCAGTCGGTGTCCCCGAGACTGGAAGCTCCCTGAGGCAGTGGTTCTCAACCTTCCTAATGCCGCGACCCTTTAATACAGCTCCTCATGTTGTGGTGACCCCCAACCATAAAATTATATTCATTGCTACTTCATAACTGTAATTTTGCTACTGTTATGAATCGTAATGTAAATATCTGATATGCAGGATGTATTTTCATTGTTACAAATTGAACATAATTAAAGCATAGTGATTAATGACAAAAACAATATGTAATTATATATGTGTTTTCCGATGGTCTTAGGTGACCCCTGTGAAAGGGTCGTTCAACCCCCAAAGGGGTCGCGACCCCCAGGTTGAGAACCGCTGCGAGGGGACAGACATTCTCTGAACACGCCTAGTTTCGGCGCCAGGCACGGCGGGTCACCGATTAGCGGAGGGGCAGAGATGGAGAATGAATGCCGGGAGCGGGGTTCGCGGGGAAGGAGGTTCACAGAGGTGAGGCGGGGACTAGAGGGGACCCGGGGCTGCTGCCGGCCGCCCGGGGCCGGAGAGAGGCGGGAGCGCCGGCAGGACTCACCAGGCCCCGGTCGATGTCCGCGTCAGGCCGTTTGGTCGAGGGCGGCGAGTACTCGGCGTGGCGGATGCCCTCGCCGGCGGGGGCGACACCGCCGAAGGCAGCCATGCTGTTGCGCCCAGGGAGACGGGACGCCGCGCGCCGCCTACGGGGCGCCGCAGGGACAAACTAGTGAGCGCGCGGCTCCGCGGGTTTAGGTGAGGCCGGGCCTCTGTGCAGGCGGAGGAGGGCGGGTCACCAGGAGATCTGCTTCTCACACAGGCGCTGGCCAACTTGTTCCCTTAAAGCCAAGAGTGAGACCCAGAGCTGAGTCCCCTGGGACATGGAGCACGTTTTGTAAGTTTCAGATCCACCGGTCCAAAGCCCACACGAGGCTCCCCAAGCAGCGCCAAGGGCCAGGGTTTAATCATTTGAGCTGATGTTGGTCTCATCAAACTGCAGTGCCTGACCCACGCCGGACCCTTCTTCCTACCCCCGACTACTGATCAGACTTCGGTTTAATGCCACAATTCTCCCATGCATGAAAGCAATATTAGAGGCAATTTGCTTACCCTTTCCCCCATATGAATGACTAATTTTAAAATGAGATTGCAAAGAATAAATCTCACTCCCCACAAATGGTTTTGTGCTGACTTGGATATAGGAATACCCACCTTATTATTAATTTTTAAGTCAAGCCTTTTTGAGCAAAAATTAACCAACAAATGAAGCCTGTATACTGTTTTCCAACTCCTGTACCTACTTGGCAGGATTTTTGCCCTTTATACCCATTGCAAAAGCAGCTTACAAGAAGAGAAACACGTAGTTCTTTTTTCTATTCCTGAATTTAAAGTTTGAGGGTCTGCTAACTTATTCATTTAGTTACTATTATTAGCAAGCCCAATAAGTTAGGGCCTATAAGAATTTACAGTCTCATAAGGAAAATAACACTGACACGAAGTAATAGCAATACATGCCAGAACATGAGCACATGCATTGTACAGAGAATAAAGAAAACTGGACTAGGAGAATGGAAGAGATCTGAGTCTAGTGTATTTTTTTTTTCTAGGCTTGTTCCTTGCGCATTCCCATTAACCTCTTCAAATTTCTCCTTATCTGTGGAAAGTGAGTAACATTTGTTCAATAGTTTGACTCGGGGAAATTATAAAGATAAAATGTACAAAATATATGGAAGTAATTTGTCCTATTGTGCAATGTACTTATGAAGAGTGTCACTGCTATAGTGCTCTTGGCTTTTATGGGAGGAAATGGCCTCTTTTAACCAGGGTCATCTGAAAAGGTTTGCTGGAGGCTTAGCCATTGAGATAATCAGTAAAGAAGGGGTAACATGCAGCCGGTGTGGCTCAGAGGTTGAGGGTGGGCCTGTGAGGTCACTGTTCAATTCCCGGTCAGGACACAGGCCTGGGTTGGAGGCTTGATCCCAGTAGGGGATGTGCAGGAGGCCTTCGATCAATGTTTCTACCTCTCTCTCCTCCATTCATCTCTCTGAAATCAATAAAATAATAATAATGCCATACAGACACCCACTATCTAAAAAAAAAGAAGAGGGAAGAAGAAGAAGATGAGGTAAAATGTTTTTAGATGGAAATTATAGCTGAAAAGAAATTTAGAAGGTGGTATGTAGGACTGGGTGAAAAACACTCATCAAGACTCTTCAGAGGGAAGGAATTGGTATGTGCAAATTGCCAGTTATAAACAGTCACAGGGATGTAGACTACAGCATAGGGAATGTAGTTAATAATATTATAATAACTATATATGGTGTCAGATGTGTACTAGACTTATCAGGGTGTTCACTTCATAAGTGATATAAATGTTGTATACCTGTACATGTTGTATCCTTTATTATCCATTCATTCATTTATTCAATAAGTATTTATTGAGCACCTGTTAGGTATCAGGCACTATTCTAGGCATAGGGCTTAAGTGTCAAGTACCCAAATAAGATCTCTGATTCTTTGTGAGAGGAGTTAGAAACAGGGTTAGGCAGACAGGGTTAGGGGTAAAAAAAAGAAGGAAATATAGATGTGACCATTGGAGCCAACTAAAACTAAAGGAATGCTGGTCTTGCAAAAAGACAGAATGCCACAAGAATGCTTATCTTGCAGGTACAGAAGGTTACAAGAAGCAGGGGTGGAAGAAGAAAAAAGTGTGGACATAACTGCACGGTCAAGGAGGGCCCAGCTCCAAACCACAAGAATATTTATCTTGCAGGTGCAGGATGTTGCAAGAGACGGGGCAAGAGAAAAAGAAAAGAGCCCCTTTTCTTTCCCCCTCGGAAAGAGGAGGTTGGTTTTGAAATGGTTGCTAGGCAAGAAAGGTAGAAGAAGCCAGTCAAAGAGTTACACGGGTAGACAAACAGTGGACTCAGGGGGGATAAAACCCCTAGATGAGTGAATTCACTGGCAACCCTTTCTTGGGCCCCCTCATGTGGGGAGTTTGTATCCACTTATAATAAATTTCCACGGTTTTGCTTACATCTTCTGGTCCATGATTTTATTCTTTAACTTCATGAGACACGATCCCGGGAAGAACATTGGCTTGCTGTTTGGGTATCATTTGGAGTTCACAGTCTATGGGTTGGTTACAGTGTACCCTAGCAGCGTGGCCCTCACAGCCACAGGCTGCCAGCCTGGACCAACTGGAACAAGACCCTCTTAGGGCAGCTGATGCCCCTGCTCAAGAACTGAAGCTCTTGGAGCAGAAGTCAGGCAAAGGGGAGAAAGGAGAACTGGGCCAGGAAGAGGATAGCAAGTTGGAGGGGAGATGGGCTCAGCAGGATTGCCCCTCAGCTTAGATACAGACTTATTGAGAGCAGTTTGCTGGCTATTCATAGACTTGACCCCTGTTCCACTTCCGCTTAGGTTATTAACTCCTATACCCGTAGTTTTAAAGAAAAATTGTCCACAATGACTATTCTCAGCCTTTGGTTTTTTGCTCAGGTCACCCTCATCTGGAAAGAAAGGATAGGAACAAGCAAGTAAGTCATCTGTCTCCCCACAGGATCTCTTCCCAACCTAGCTAAACTCACTTTCCTGGCTTCCCTAAGAAAGAAGAACAATTTTCACTGGCCAGTTGTTTTAGTTATACCACTAACAGATTATATTATGTTCAATAGAGTTTTTGAAAGAAAAGTAGACATCCTGAAATATCTCAGTAAAAAAAAAAAGTCAACATTTGTTGTTTTAAAAGACTTTTGGGGGAGGAAATATATATATATCTCCACCTCTGTGTGCCTCAATTTCCTTCTCAGTAAAGTTGGAGGAAATAACAACACCTCCATTTTGAGAATTAAGTGAGTTTACTTTTTTTTTTTTTAATATATTTTATTGATTTTTCACAGAGAGGAAGGGAGAGAGATAGAGAGTTAGAAACATCGATGAGAGAGAAACATCGATCAGCCGCCTTCTGCACATCTCCTACCGGGGATGTGCCCGCAACCAAGGTACATGCCCTTGACCGGAATCGAACCTGGGACCTTTCAGTCCGCAGGCCGACGCTCCATCCACTGAGCCAAACCGGTTTCGGCAAGTGAGTTTACTTTTGTAGAGCTGTTAGAATAGTGTTGGATACCTAGTAAGTTCTACAAAAGTGTTAGTTACTATTTTCTTTATATTACCTCTTTCACCTATTTGTTTCCATGTATATTTTCTCCTTGCTGCCCCCCACAACAGTTGTGTGTTTGTCTTATCTTTGAAATTATACAATTCAATTAAACATTACATAGTGATCTACATATATAAAACCCTACTATGCAAAAAACAACCAACCAAACAACCGGTCACCATGATGTGCACTGACCACCAGGGGGTACACATGGAACATGGCAGGCATCAGCAGCAGGCAGAAGAGTGCAGAGCCTGCAGGCGTTGGCCACGGTGGGATGGTAGAGCAGGTGAGTGGGGGCGCCAGACCAAGGCAGGGTGCCAGTCGCTGTCATTGGGACAAGTGTGTGGTGGTTACTGAAAATTCTTTGCTCCCGCACGCCACAGTCCCACCTGGCACTCACACCTGCTGCCGGTGCTGGCCCCGCTCACACCCACTACTGGTGCCCAGCACAGGCCCCAATCACTCAGGGCCATCAGTGGGTGTGAGCGGTGGCTGCCAGCCCTGATAGTCCCTTAGGGCTTCTCCACCTCCCCCTGTTCCTGAGGGGTGATTGGGGCTGGCAGCCACCGCTCACACCCGCTGACAGGAGCTGGCCCAAATCGCTCTGAACCATTAACAGGGGCGAGTGGGCCGGCACCATCAGCACATGGGCGTGGCGGAGGCGGGAGCAGGGCTGCCAGCAGACAGGGGACTGGGGACCCCAGTGGGAGGGGCTGGGGGGGGGCACAGAGGATGGGCCAAGACCCACCCCTGTGCCCACTGCAGCCTCACAGCCCACAGTTCCTTTCAAGGTGCACGAATTCATGCACTGGGCCCCTAGTAAAGTATAAGTGTGGGGGAGATTATGAAAATGAAATTAAATGTTTTTAAATGACTTGATAAAAGCAAAATTTTTTTAAAGCTGTCAAATGGTGAACATGGGAAAAGAATCATAAAAACTGAGTGTAATTCTATACTGTTTACTTTTAAAATGTCTTGTTCCTAATTTATTTTAAACAAACATTTAGAGGTTAGATTATCACTGAAAAAAATTCGAGGCAGAATGAATCAGAGGACACACACCAAAATAAAAGGCTCTTGGCACTGCAAATATGCATAGATTCCATGAATAGCTATCGTGTATGTTTTTGTGGTATTAAAATTTCATAGGGGGCAGGGAAGATGGTGTCATTAGAAAAATGTCTAACAAAACTCCTTAGGGTAGATGATAAAAACAAAAGTTTATGTGATGTTTAAAAAATAATGTTTAAAGTATGTATTATGATTCCAGTTTTAATTGTTTTTCTGTTTTGTTTTCTTTTGTTTTTATTAATCCACAAACACTATCCTGGTCTGGTCAGAAAAGAGAGCGCTACTGTATGACAAAGTGCAGAGGGCACAAAGGAGAAGGGGCCTGAAAGGACTGAGGAAGGAGTCAGAGAAGATTGTACTCAAGTTGACCATGGCAGGATGAATACAAATTTGCTGGACTGATAAGAATGAGGTAGGCTTGGGGGAACAAGGTATGAGAAATCATTGTATGTAAACAGGACTACCAGTAATTC